ACAATATAATATGGCCCAGCCCTACCAGACACAGAGATTTGCACCCCTACTTCCAAGTATAAGTTGCATTCATTTAGAAGTGTATTTCACAAAACGCAAGAATAGACATTTAAAGCTCTCTCTGCAGTTCATCAATGAGCAGTCTGTACTTAGGCAGACATGGTGGGTATTGTTGGATCCGTCCCACTTCCTGTATGTGGAATATGAGCTCTTGCCTTCTGGTAGAAGGTAGAGAATCCCAAAAACTAAATTGAATCGTTTTAAATATTCTTTTGTGCCCACCACCATCAAAATTTTGAATCAACATTTTAAATAGATAATATGTTGAGGTATGGAAGTTGTACAATAATTTTGGTGTTCCATGTTGTTGTCTTTAAAACTGTTGGTTTTTTTTTTGCCATTTATATGAATTATATGTATTTATTGTGTTTGGAAAGCTGCTACTATGCAAATTACACCAGAATCCATGACAAATTTACCCAAGGAGACAATAAAGTATATTCAGAGAGTCAGTCAAGAGTTTCTTTATTGTCGTTCGCATCACATATGGTACATGTGGTGGAACAAAATTATGTACACAGGGTCCCAGTTACATCCAACAATAAAATGTAAAAGAAAAACGGGTCTAAGATCTAAGATATGAACGAAGAATGATATGAGGTATTAACTAAAAATACGCTAAGCACTAATAGCATAAAAACAATACGTCGAAAAGCAGCACAAACATGAGTTTGTGTGAGCAGATGAGCACCCATGAACACAGAAACAAGAAACAGATCAGCAGTAATATGATGTAATTTTTCACAGTGGTTATCCTGGTTAGAGATTCATGAGTCTAACAGTCTCAGGGTAAAAGCTGTTCCTCAGTCTAGTGGTTCTACACTTAATGCTCCTTTACCTCCTTCCTGAGGGGAGTGGGGCAAAAAGTGTGTGTGCTGGGTGAGTGAGGTCCTTCATGATGAAGGTGGCCCTCTTCCTGCATCTAGAGGTGTAAATGTCTGTGATGGTGGGGAGACTGACTCCAACAGACTTCTGTGCAGCCTTCACCACTCTCTGCAAAGCTTTTCTTTCTGCAGCTGTGCAGCCTCCATGCCACACGTTGATGCTGGAGCAAAAGATGCTCTCCACTGCACACCTGTAGAAGGAGGTGAGGACCAAGCTTCCCAGACCAGCTCGCCTCAGGCGCCTGAGGGAGTCTCTGATGAGCTTTCTTGATCAGGCTGGTGGTGGTGTACTTGTAGCTGGAGACCACTTCCACCACAGATCCTCTTATGTTAAGGGGGGGGGGGGGGTAGGTGTGTTTGTTCCTTCTGAAGTCCATCTCCTTTGTCTTCTTCACAATGATGTGAAGGTTATTCTCGTTGCACCAGCTCTCAAGGTGTTCCACCTCCTGCCTGTAGCTGGACTCATCGTTGTTTGTGATGCATCCCACCACCGCTGTATCATCTGCAAACTTTACAATATGACAGCCTGGATAGGTAGATGCACAATCATACGTGAGAAGAGTGAACAGGAGAGGGCTCAGCACACATCCCTGAGGGGAGCCAGTGCTGAAAGTTATGGTGGAGGAGAAGTTGTGGATCCTCAATGACTGCGTTCTGTTTGTTAAGAAGTGTAGGACCCAGTTGTAAATGGAGGGGCTTTGTCCTAGTGTGAGTAGTTTGTCCACCAGGGTTTGGGGGATCATGGTATTAAAGGCAGACGTGAAGTCCACAAGAGCATATGGATGTAGGAGTCCTTCTGCTCCATGTGAGTGAGAGCAGTGTGGACCACAGAGGAGATGGCATCCTCTGTTGATCGGTTTTTGCGGTATGCGTACTGATGAGGGTCCTCCTTGATGTTTGTTTTGATGTGGGTCATGACTAGTTTTTCGAAGCATTTAGCGACTATTGGGGTGAGGGCTACTGGCCAATAGTCATTCAGACCAGTCACTGTAGAGCTTTTTGGGACTGGTATGATGGTGGCGGTTTTCAGTCAGGTGGAAACTGTTGCCAGGGTAGGTGAGGAGTCAAAGATGTTGGCCAGCACGTTGCAGAGCTGATCGGCATTATATTGACATATTCTATTCTATTCTATTCTATTCTATTCTATTCTATAATAACAATAACACACAGAACATACCTGGGATCGGCCCATGGGGATGTCAACCGTGAGGGGGACCTCGTTCATGTTGATAATATGATCCGGTGACGTGCTGTTTTCCGCTACCTGCTTTCCATTGAACTCGCGGAAACTGTCGCCCTTGACTTGAAAGTCTGCTGGCAGTTTCTGACATACCGATGTCGGTGCTTTGATGGAGAGGCGGTTACGTTTCATAAAGCGAAAACACCAAGAACACGTGCCAACAAAATTATTAATATTCATCTCCTTGGCAATGGCCATGGCAAGGTGACGCAACTTGAGCGTTGACAAGCCTCTCCCAGCAGCGCGTTCTTCCACCACCCATCTGTACACTCGTTCCTCCAGCTCTGGCCATCTCGCTTTCATCCCGCGATTAGCTTTCTTCGTTTTCTTCATTGCAGTCAGGGTAACCTCTGCTTTTCGCCAGTCCCTCACAAGTTTCTCACTCACTCCAAACTTTCTATCTGCTGCTCGATTACCGTTTTGGGCTGCATACTTTATTACCTTCAGTTTGTATTCTGCAGAATAGGATTTTCTTTTGGGGGGCATTTTTACTTGTGTTAAGTTTTTCTCAGTTGTCTCTTAAGTGAATGTTTGGGGTGGGGGCAGAGGAACAACATATAGTTGTCAAAAGCCTAAAGGGCCCTCTCTTGGCTGCAAATGGTAATGTTTAGTCTTGGTTCATGTCAGTATGAATGATCATTTAACGCGTCAGTCAAAAATTGCGTCATGAATAGGGGAAAAACGTAAATAAGTCACTTCGGACTATAAATTGCAGGACTGGCCAAACTATGGAAAAGGGTGTGACATAAGTCCGTAAAATACGGTAATGTGACCCAACAGATGTGGAGCTATGTCCTACAATGAAAACTTATTTTACCTCCTGTAAATTTTACTTCCTCTCACCAAGGATGTATTGTGAGGCTATTTCAATGTGGCAGAGGCTAAAAATGAACAATCAGCCCTGGAAAAATAGGAACTTGCTAAAAATCTGTTGAATGACAGAAGTCTGTATCTGTCAGTGCAAGAACTCGATATCTGACACTGAAAATTGGTTCTAGACCTATCAAACTAATCAGCAGGAGTGTTACACCTGCTGATTAAAGAAGGTAAAACATAATAAACTTTGTGATATCTCTGGAATCAGCACCTGGCCCTTCCCAGCAAACAGAGACATGCAGTAACTTAAACAAGTCTAAATAAATGAGAAGCCTTCTCAATGTCTCCAGATGTGGCAGTTTCTGGTTAACAAAAGTTAGTTTTGACCACAGATTTACCAGCAAATTTATAATAGAAAAGGACTAGAATAGCAGAGTTAAATCTTTTAAGTCTGGTTTGCATCTGGGAGGTGTGCAGCCTCAACAAGAAAATTATTAGTACAAGAGGTGTCAAAATATGGAGAAAACCAAGTAAAAAAACGTTTTAGCTTCAGTTACGTAATACTTTAATAAAGACAGTTTTGTTAACATTAGTTTTTCTGTTAATTTCACTCAAATAAACATTGCAAAGCAAACTAAAAGTAAATATATGGTAGTTTTTGTAACCCCATAGCATAAGACTTTCACACAGATAATTTTAACCTTTTTCCAATGAGCTAAAAGGCTTATAAAACTAATTTGTTTAATTAACTCTTTTCCAATTTACTGTAACCATGAGTAATATAATAATTAATGTGATAGCGCCATGTAAGTGATGTCATTTGGTAAATACGTTTTAATGATGTAAGAACTACTTTAGTTACTAGATGGACCAAATGTGTTTTTTTACCTTGTGAACAACTCGCAGAAAGCCATTTAAGCTCAAACCACTTGCATCCAAAGTTTTCTTGGAAACTGTGCTGTTTTCGAAGCGACAGTCATAAACGTGGAGCATCGTCGAACAAGCTGGAAGGTGGAAGGTGCAGAAACAATGCTACCCTGATGCTACCCTACATAAACAATGCTACCCTTCGGCGTTCAGATTAAAAAGAAAAACTTCACGTGACAAATTCACGCTCGAAACCTCCCTCAAACAATTTATAACGTTTCTCTGCGTTGGTTACATATTTTTCCGCGCTATCTCCGTGACTTCAATGCTCAGTTTCATTTGTAGATTCATAACCAGACCTCCTCCAACCTTTGTTTTTACGCATGCTCCTGTGGAGAGAGGGAAAAAAAAAAAAAAAGTCGTCACACGTTGCCAGATAAACGAGTATCAATGCGACAGTTTGTCAAAATATCAGTCAGTTTTAGCATTTCCGTGCACCTAAATAAAACTTGTTTTAATATGCTCTAAAATACCCACACATCATCAGAAAGTTATGTTGCCCTCTGTGTGCGCTTCCCCTATCACCACCACTGAAATAAGTGAGACAGATCAGATTAACCTGCCTAAATAAAGGTTGCATGAAAAAAGAAAAAAAAAGATTGTTCGATAGTCCGTCATTTTCTGACTGGCAATCTTTGCGCTGTTTCTATTGCGCTTGCGTAACATCCGGTATCACGTGCTATTTCTTGGTGTTCAAATTCAGTGACTCAATGCTCCAGCCATGCATTGTTTTGATCCTTTACACCAGCGTTTTACGGAAGGAAGAAGCAGTTACAGACTAGATAATGGATGGGAGAAAGGACATTGGTAGCGAAACGTTCTCCACGTGCAATGTCAGGTGTAAAGACTACAGTGAAACCTTTACTCAAGTGAGGCCAGCCGGTAATTAAAAAGCCCGCAAAGAAAAAGCCTAAAACTTAAGCATATTTTATAATAAATCTTCGTTGGTTAATAAGACCATGGTCCGTCACTATCATGACGAATATTCACAAAGGACAAATGAAAATTAAACCGCACGTAAAAGTACCGGAAGTGGATATGTAGACCGCAATGCGTCGCAAAATACTGATTGCGCATGCGCATCAGTAACTTCCGCGAAGCAACGCATGTTTGTTTTCCTTTCAGTATCGTTTACTGCTAAACTAACGTTTCTGGACTCATTACTGACAGGAAGAGGTGTGACAGAACATATTACAATTTATTATCCAAACGTCATGTCGGTGGTGGTTCAGAGCAGCCTAGGCTGGGTTTTGGACTCACGGTCGCTTATTGATCGTGGCTATCAGCGGTGCATCCGGTGGGCAGATAAAGCACATGTGAAGTGTAGTTTTAATAGGCGGTGTTTTCAAATTATAAAAAGCCATTTTAACCTGAGTGATGGTGCTGCTGTGGAAGGAGAACACGCTGATCTGCTGCAGAATAAACCATCAAAGGTAAAACCTGGTGTAGAAGATGCACTGATGTCAGCAAAAACATATATCCTGATGCATGCTCATTAATCCAGGTAGAAAAAAAGTTAAGTCTGGTCCTCTGGACATTCAAAAAACAAAACAAAAAAGTGTAGTCGTTCATCCGAAATGATGAAAGACGAAACGTTTCTAAATTTTTTTTAATCTTTGAATGTCCACAGGATCAGTCCAGACTTAAATGTATATATATATATATATATATATATATATATATATATATATATATATAGGGAACTTTCATTCCCTGAAGATGTGTAACTTTAACATCAAAACATTCGCAGAACCTTTTTCGCCTGGTTTCCTAAATGCTGTCTGGTTTTAGGAAACCAGCACTAGTTTCAGATAACCTTTGAGAAAAAAAGTTCCTGTTTGCTTTACTTTGTTTTTCTGGAGTACAATACTCAATTAGTTGTACTGACACAAAACGGTGTGTTGTAAAAAAATATTTCACTTAATAATTCAAACTTTCTGAGTACAAACCGGATTCCAAAAAAGTTGGGACACTAAACAAATTGTGAATAAAAACTGAATGCAATGATGTGGAGATGGCAAATGTCAATATTTTATTCGTAATATAACATAGATGACAGATCAAAAGTTTAATCTGAGTAAATGTATGGTATGGTATGGTATATAGTTTATTCATTTAAAAAAAGTACAAAACAATTCCATAACAATGTAAAAAAAAAAAAGATACAAGAGATTTAAAATGAAAAGCAGCAGAAAGAAGAAAAAATCTTATTATATCTGGCCCTTTTTTTCAAACAATTATTTCAGACATAATAATCTTCAAGTAACAGAACAAAATGAATAACTTTCTAATTTTTCTAATTCTAATACAAAAAACACACTAAGCTACTTCATATATACTTTTTTAACAATCCAGTTTTGATCTTTTTCTTAAATGTGCACATTGACTTGGCATTTTTCACATCACTCTCTAGAACATTCCACAATCCAACTCCTTGGATTGAGGTAGACCTTCCCTTCAGACTAGTTCTGAATCTTGGTTTGACAAATATCTCTATCCCCTTAAGATCATAACAACTTTGTCTTTTAACAAAATTTATTTGGATATTTAATGGTGATGTGTTATTTTGAGCCCTATACATAACTGATAAAATACTATAATCTACCAAATCATGGAACTTCAATAAGTTCAGTTGATAAAATAATGTGCTTGATGGGTGACTGTAATGCTTTCTGGTGATGATTCTTACAGCTCTTTTCTGTAAAATAAAAATAGGTTTTGTAAATGTTTTACACGCTTTCCCCGAAATATTAATGCAATAGTTTAAATGTGGAACAATGATTGTGTTATACAACATGTACAGAGCTTTATCATTTAATAATTCCCTGACTTTGTATAGTACTGCAATAGATTTAGATATTTTTGTTCTTACAGAATTTATGTGATTCTTCCATGTTAGCTGTTCATCAATGATTACACCCAAAAATTTCATCTCATTAACTCTACAAATCTCAACACCCTCAATTTTAAATGGATCATCAACAGTTCTCTTTTTGTTACTGAATATCATGTATTTAGTTTTATCTAAATTTAATGATAATTTATTAAGTTTAAACCAAGTTTGTATTTTATCAAATTCTGTCTTTATCAAATGTAACATTTTAAAGGAAAAATATGTTGATTCAAAATTTCACAGTGTCACCAAATCCCAAAAAAGTTGGGACAAGTAGCAATAAGTGGCTGGAAAAAGGAAATTGAGCATATAACGAACAGCTGGAAGACCAATTAACACTAATTAGGTCAACTGACAACATGATTGGGTATAAAAAGAGCTTCTCAGAGTGTCAGTGTCTCTCAGAAGCCAAGATGGTAAGAGGATCACCAATTCCACCATTGTTGCACAGAAAGATGGTGCAGCAATACCAGAATGGTGTTACCCAGAGTAAAATAGCAAAGACATTTAAGTTATCATCATGAACCGTGCATAACATCATCAAAAGATTCAGAGAATCTGGAACAATCGCTGTGCGTAAGGGTCAAGGCCGTAAAACTCTACTGGATGCTCGTGATCTCCGGGCCCTTAAACGTCACTGCACCTCAAACAGGAATGCCACTGTCAAGGAAATAACAGAACGGGCTCAGGAATACTTCCAGAAAGCATTGTCGGTGAACACAATCTACCGTGCCATCCGCCGTTGCCAGCTGAAACTCTACAATGCAAAGAGGAAGCCATTTCTAAGCAAGCTCCACAAGCTCAGACGTTTGCACTGGGCCAGGGGTCATTTAAAATGGAGTGTGGCAAAATGGAAGACTGTTCTGTGGTCAGATGAGTCACGATTTCAAGTTCTTTATGGAACACTGGGACGCCATGTCATCCAGACCAGAGAGGACAAGGATAGCCCAAGTTGTTATCAATGATCTGTTTAGAAGCCTGCTTCACTGATGGTATGGGGTTGCATGAGCACTTGTGGCATGGGCAGCTTGCATGTCTGGAAAGGCACCATTAATGCAGAGAACTATGTTCAGGTTCTAGAACAACATATGCTCCCATCTAGACGTCATCTCTTTCAGGGAAGACCCTGCATTTTTCAACAAGATAATGCCAGACCACATTCTGCAGCAATCACAACATCATGGCTACGTAGGAGAAGGATCCGGGTACTGAAATGGCCAGCCTGCAGTCCAGATCTTTCACCTGTAGAGAACATTTGGTGCATCATAAAGAGGAAGGTGCGACAAAGAAGGCCCAAGACGATTGAACAGTTAGAGGTCTGTATTAGACATGAATGGGAGAGCATTCCTATTTCTAAACTTGAGAAACTGGTCTCCTCTGTCCCCAGACGTCTGTTGGGTGTTGTAAGAAGAAGGGGGGATGGTGGTAAAAATGGACTTGTCCCAACTTTTTTGGGATTTGTTGACGCCATGAAATTTGGAAACAGATTTTTCCCTTAAAATGATACATTCTGTCAGTTTAAACTTTTGATCTGTGATTTGTGTTCTATTCTGAATAAAATATTAGATGTTGGCACCTCCACATCATTGCATTCAGTTTTTATTCACAATTTGTTTAGTGTCCCAACTTTTTTGGAATCCGGTTTGTACATTCTTGGTCATTAAATATGTCACGTCTGACAAAATGTAAGTTTTCTGACATTACTTAAAAAAACAGCAAAACAGATGCTTCCTTAATATCAGGATTTTTATTAAGTTCAAAGTGCCTGTTTTAGTCTTTGCTTTGTGAGTCATACGCTCATCTATGAGCTGCACTGAAGGAGGGATGAATGAGTTTTTGTAGCGGCTGTTTTTACATAAAGTAACCTTGAACCTTCTTCCTGAGTTCTGTTAAACATTCTGAGTGCAGATCGTTAGAGGCATTCGACAAAACACCGTCTGTCTGTTTGAGGGCTGTTTGCTCAAACAGGTCTTGGAAGGTTAAAAGTGCAGCCGTACCATGATTTTACCTGTTGTCCTCAGCAGATTTAATATCTAAGCCTTTGATTTAATGGTCAGATGACCAAACCAGCAGCTAATGCCAGATCATAACTCTGACTCAATAGTTGCTTTGAAAAAAAAAAAAAAATCCACATAATATTCTTGTGTACCTGGAGTTAGTTTATTGCAGGCTAACTTTAACAAAGTCATCTGTAAGTGTTGCCATATATTGGCCCAGCTGGGAGCGGACAGTCATTGGTATGCAATGTAAATAAAAACAGGTGAGCTGCCACAGCCCTGAGGGACTCCAGCATGCAGTACTTGAGTACACAGTTTATTTTCACCTGCTGAGGCCTGTTTAACAAGAAAAACTGGTACCACTTGATAAGAAATTGGTTCACCTCTTTAAAAACAACATTCTGTTGATTAATAGTTATTTAAAGTTGTTGTTTTTCAGAAACGTAAGCGAAAGCACAGCGAACTCAACCAAGGGGAAGTTGACTCAAAGATCTTCCACGAGAAGGTAAATAAATCCTGTTCTTCAGCATCAACTCTTAGATTTGCCACTTTATTTTCGAGTGTCCGTGATGGCAGAAATTAAATCCTCTCGCATCCAAACAGAAAATGTCAAATGAAACAACTGGCTGGGAAAAAAAAAAAAAAGAAGCGAGTATCTAACAGGAAATGTTCACAATGTGCCACATTACAGATCAAGTCTGTTATTCTGGAGGGAACCAAGCTCTTGGTGGATTCTGCAAGGTCCCATGGATACCTCTCTGGAGAGACGGACTCTGTGAAAGAGCCTGTTCCTTCCCAGGAATGCCGCTTCGCAGCTCTTTGTGAGATGGCTAAAGAGCTTCCTCTGGTGGAGGATGAGGAGCAGCAGGAGCGCACTCAGTTACTCGTCACTGAAGATGGCTGTACTTCACATGTCGACCTGTTCTCTCAGACGACGGAGAACAGGGAGGACCGGGCAGCTGTGGTTACACTGATGGGAGAGGAATATATCATACCTCCTAACTCAGCTTTCCTGCTCTCTGATTTCACAAGAATGCAACCACTTGTTCACGGTGGGTACAGTCATGTAAAAAAGTATAGTTTTTGATCCATATGGAAAACATGCATGCTAGACAAACTGTTTTTATGCTTCTGATCGTGCAATTTGGAGGGAAAATGTGGCCTTTTTTGTCGTATTTGTAGAAGGAAAATGCATTTTCTCATGGCCCGACATTATTTTCCGAGTGCCGTATTTTCTGGCGTATAAGTCGCATCAGTCAAAGAAACACATCACGAAGAGGAAAAAAACATATACAAGTCGTTTCAGCGTATAAGTTGAAGGACTGAGAAATCTATGCAAAAAAACCAACAAAAAAAACAACTTATACGCTGGAAAATACGGTAAATGTTTCTCTCTCCATCAGGGGGAAGGAGGTTTGACCTCATTGTGATTGATCCACCGTGGGAAAACAAATCCTTGAAAAGGAGCCGTAGGTAAGAGTGCGAAGCAGAACGCGTAAAACGAAAAGGAGTCTGGAGTATTATATGATCTAATTTAAACATCTCATCCAGGAGTTTTCAAGATTTTTCTGTTTAAAGTGAAAACTGTGACACCGACGATGTAGTCATTGAATTAACGTTGCTAAACATTTCAGTATGATGTTAGTAACTGCATTTAATTTTTTTTGTTTTTTTGTTATTTCTCACGAAGATACAGCTTTTTACCATCAACACAACTGAAGCGCCTCCCAGTCCCCCAGCTCTCGTCTTCAGGATGTTTAGTGGTCACCTGGGTGACAAACCGGCCCAGCCACCTGCGTTTTGTTTGTGAGGAACTGTATCCACACTGGGGTGTACAAGTTGTGGCCAAATGGTTTTGGGTCAAGGTACAGATAAAAGAGATAAAACTCTTGGAAATCTCACAAACAGGCACAAGTCTGACTCTTTCATCTTCCTGTTTAGGTCACAACGTCCGGGCAGTTTGTGTTTCCCCTCGATTCACAGCACAAGAAGCCGTATGAAACACTGGTGCTGGGTCGATGCTCTACCTCCACAAGGTGTTAACTTCTCTGTCATGTTTGTTGCTTATAAATGACAAAATCCTAAGATTTAATGAATCCAGATCATATTTGTTTGGCTTCAGCTCCTCAAAAATGCCAGAGATTGAAGATAAGCGCCTGATTGTCAGCGTCCCCTCCGCTCTTCACTCCCAGAAGCCACCACTGACAGGTGAATCTTTGACTGCGCTGTTTCTTTTTGCCTCTAGAGGGCAGTACTGCAACATCACTGACTATTATCTCCTCATAATAGATAAGGTCAAAACACTGTGACTGTTTCCCATCACATTTACCATTCCTACAATGCCAGTGCATTTGTATGTCAAGAAAACGCATCATGTAGTCAAAATTAACTTTAGCAAACATGACCACTAGTTGTAGACTGAAGAAGACGAATAACAAACAGTGAAGTCCTTTTTATTTTCTATAATCGTGAGTGTTGAACCTGACAGGTTTGACTCGTCACAGCTGTAAACTTTTATTGCTCGTTCATCCAAATCGTCTCACACTGACTCCGCTGTTCTCTCTCTGCTCTTCAGAGTTGATGTCAGACCTTGACAATGAATATGCAGGAACTAAGAATAAGGGAGGCTTGACGTCATCTCGTTCCCTCTCTGGGGAACACGGTTTATTGTGCAGTATGGGGAGCAACACACGGACGTGTTTGCTGTTGCCCTTTCAGCAGCACAGAAAAGCCCCCGCCTCATGGAACTAGGTGGATATTGTTTAAATGTATTGATTTAAATCATAATGATGCTTCTGTGGAGCTGTGATACCATAGAGATTAAGTAGGTTAGGAAACAGACTGAGCTCGGACTCCATGTGTGCTTCTTTGTTTGACTCTCAGCAGGTTTATTCACAACAGCTTTGTTTATTCCACTTCATTTATTTGTTGGTTTTGGAGCGTTTTCTTCTGTAATGGACAAAACATTACCTTCATTTAAGTGTACTGGAACTTGCAACCTCTAGTGACTCGGCTGCAGTCATAACCAATGACAAAATGGTAACAGAATCTCTTAATTTGTCTTTTTCAGCCTTGTTTTTAATTTGCACTATTCATTACAGATCATCTTAATTTATAAATGATCAAGTTCAGATTCATCCGAGTCACATTTATTGGGGAGTTAGTTCCAAATAACTGATGAAACTTAAAATGATTTGTGATACTGCAGAGCTCAGTCTTAATTTTGCTGAAACAGGCTCAACCTCGAAAACGAGGACAAGGACACGTTAAAGTTTTCCGTCCTGCTCTCCAACAGCTTGCTTGAACTCGTCAGCTGTTTTCTTTACAACTTGGTGTACATGTGGCATTTTGTTTGAAAGCTCAGATTCTTGTGATGTGATTGACAGGAAGTATTGTATGACTCGATGACGAAAGCTCAAAAAAACCCATCAAATCAAGTGAGACGACTTATCAATAAGGCCTCCTAACGATTTACTGTAATATATGGTCGCAATAACAGCAATCATTAAATTAAAACTTTTACATAAAAATAATACAGGTTGCTGATTTTAAAGAATGGTGTAATGGAGTTTGGTCAGTCTCTCATCGAGATAACAATAAAGCAAAACACGAGCTTTTTCACCATTAAGATAAAAGTTTGGATGCAATTTTTATGCTCAGCTTTTTTGTTTTATTTGTTTAGCTTGTTGTGTGAATGTTTATGAATCATTCACACTATTGTGATCCATTTTTCTTCCGTACGTTTTTCGACATCTTTCTCCTTCCACATTTTTTGTGCTATTTCAACAAATCATATCAAAATGTTAAGCTCATTCAGAAGAAGGGTGCTATGACTTTTGGTATTGGTGCAACTTGAGCTTTTTGAGATATTTAGCCTTTTCTGCCACTTTTTTTTCTCATAGAAAAGGAATTAAGCTAATTTTACATTCTTCAAATCTTAAGGTCTGTTTACAACCTTTTACTGCACCTTTCACATTTTGTTCTGTTTCAGCTTCTTTCAACTTCCCTGTGCAAATTTTAACTTTTTTCAACTACTTTCAGCTATTTTCAGCTGTTTTTTTGCTCCTTTTAAGATTCTTTCTGCAAACTACAACATTTCTGTGCTTCTTCTAACTTCTTTCTGCTAATTTCACCTCGTTATGCTCCTTTCAGTTTATTTCTGCAAGTTTCAGCTTTTTCTGCTATTTCAGCTACTATTTAGCCATTTTTCTGCTAATTTTAGCTGTATTTGCTAATTCCACATTTCAACTTTATTCAGTCTAATAATGTGCTGTCTCCACTTCCTTCTTGTAATTTCAGCTTCTCCTAGAAAACTTTAGCTACTTTTCAACTGTTTTTGCTAGTTTCAGCTTTTTTCAGATAATACAGTATCCACTTTTTAGAGCTCATTTCTGCTTCTTTCATTCTAACTGGGTAAAATTATTCTTTCTGCTTTCTTCTACTAGTTTAAGCTTGTTCTACATTGTCAGCTACTGTTTTTATTTATTTGTTTTAGCATTTTTCAGCTAATTTCAGCCGTTTTCAGATAAATTCAAGTTATTTTTGGTAATTTCTGCTAATTTCAGCTCCTTTCAGCTTTTTTTCTGATAGTTTCAGTTTTTTCTTCTATTTCAGCTACTTTTTAGCTGTTTTGTGAAAAATTTAGCTTTTTCAACTAATCCCTCTTTTTTAAGCTCATTTCAGCTCCGTCCACTTCCTCCTGGTTTTTAGCTTTTTTCCTGCCTTTTCAGCTACCTTTCAGCCATTTTTTCCTAGTTTGAGCTTTTTTCACTAATTTCCTAATTTTTGCGTTGATTTCTGCTTATTTAAATCTAATTGAGAAAATATGTGTTCTTTCGGCTTTCTTCTGCCAACTTGGGCTTGTTCTTCAATTTCAGCTACATTTCAGCATGATGTTAGCTAATTTCAGCTGTTTTTCAGCAAGTTCTTCGGCAATAAGCATTCACACTGCATTTTTGCAGGAAATGCAATTTGTCTAGTTATCATTTACAAATAGTTAATGTGACCTTAGGCCTCTGGCATTATCCAGCCCGAGCGTCCTTTAGTGGAGCAGATAAGTGAAATAATCTTTCAAATATGGATGAAAGCATAGGAATTGGTATAGGAGTTGCTGTGAGGACTAACTACTCAAAAATATTGGGTTTTATAAGTCAACATTATTGTTACATTAAGTAAAAGGGTTACTGTTATAAAAAGTATAAGGTTGTGTAAAGGCGTCTGGAAAGCCATCTTGAAATGTCAAGTGCCTAATGTACTTTTTTTTTTTAAAGAGTAATGTCTAAAGGACTGTGCACAGTTTTATTCTTGCATCCAGATGTGTAAACTTTAGGTGAGTTTGGTCACTGCTCCACTGTTTCACATCTGAAACTATCACGTCAGTGTCACTGTTGCACTTTTCCTTAGAGGTCTGCTCTAGCCTCGCAGCAGCTTTGGTGGTGTGAAGCCGTGGCACTCGAGCCCACCACGTAGAGACTTTCTGACCCACTTGTGTTGCCCTCTCAGATGGAGCTCCTGTCACCGACATGCTCGGTTGCTATGGAGAGATAAAAGACAGTGTTACTCCATTACTGATACGATGCTTGCCAGATGGTAAAGTAGCAGAAAAAGTCTTCATAATTCCAGGGCTCTCTGTTTTTTTTAAATGCATAAAATTTGCTTCTGAGTTGGGGTTTAAAACATAAAATGAATTATTTTCAGAACCAGAAGTAGATTACTGTATATTATTCTTATCTTTAACTGTGATCTGTTCAGCACTTAGTAAAAACTACCTTATGTTTTTATTCATGTAAAAGTCCTGCAGTATGGCACAGGTTTGCTGTTTCAAATGCTTGTTTGCATTTTAAATAATGTTAACGTCACACTTGTGTACAAATGCGTAACTTATTTGTTTTAAACATCAGAATCAGCTTTATTGTCATTGCACCGAAGCACAAGGAAATTACATTTCAGCACAGCCCGTCCGAGGAAACATAAGCAGACATGAGGAGACAGAGGTGTCTGAGGCTGCGGCCTTCCGGAGGCACTGCCCTTTTCGTTCAGATAAGAAAACGAGAAATATGAGGGGAGGTTTTAAAAAAATCATATCTTGCACTGTGTCCTAGACGGGATACATTGTGAGAGTTGCAATAAAAGACCTTAGCACAGAAACAGCAACATACTGATGACATCAAAATACATTTATGCACGAGGAGGCCGACAAAGGCGGTGAGTTGTTCGTGGATACTGCCAGATGGTTCCATAGTCCTGACAAGAGATGGTGTAGTGTCTCTCAGCCGACTCTGACACAGGTCCACAGATGTCCTCGGGAAGGGAGCGGGTAGGGAAGATGAAGGAAGCAGAGCGTCTTGTTCACATACTGTCCAGGAGAGTTTGAGATGGCCAATTCAAAGCCAAGCGGTGGAGCCAGATTCAGATAACAACAATTATTTTGGGTCTGGCCTACTGCTTGATTTCTGTCTGCTTTATAGTTCTACTGGTACGTCTCAATGGCGACTCCAAACTCCAATCTTTTTGCAGATGATACAGCGGTGGTGGGATGCATCACAAACAATGATGAGTCCAGCTACAGGCAGGAGGTGGAACACCTGGAGAGCTGGTGCAGAGAGAATAACCTTCACATCAATGTGAAGAAGACAAAGGAGATGATTGTGGACTTCAGAAGGAACAAAAACACCTACACCGCCCTGAACATAAGAGGATCTGCGGTGGAAGTGGTCTCCAGCTACAAGTACTTGGGTGTACACATGAATGACAACCTCAGCTGGAGCAACAACACCACCAGCCTGATCAAGAAAGCTCATCAGAGACTCTACTTCCTCAGACGGCTGAGGCGAGCTGGTCTGGGAAGCTCAGTCCTCACCTCCTTCTACAGGTGTGCAGTGGAGAGCATCCTGTGCTCGAGCATCAATGTGTGGCATGGAGGCTGCACAGCTGCAGAAAGAAAAGCTTTGCAGAGAGTGGTGAAGGCTGCACAGAAATCTGTTGGAATCAGTCTCCCCACCATCACAGACATCTACACCTCCAGATGCAGGAAGAGGGCCACCTGCATCATGAAGGACCCCACCCACCCAGCACACACACTTTTTGCCCCACTCCCCTCAGGAAGGAGGTTAAGGAGCATTAAGTGTAGAACCACTAGACTGAGGAACAGCTTCTACCCTGAGGCTGTTAGACTCATGAATCTCTAACTAGAATAATCACTGTGAAAA